CCATATTAAAAAAATGTTTTCTCTAATCATCACCGATATAGCAACATGGAGATATGACTTGTGTAGGCGCAAAGTGGGATCAATGAACTGGAGTGGGGTAGAATGCTTGTCAATAGGCTTGAGATGCAACTCTATGGGCGAAGACAGGTTATTTTTCATCTCACTCGGGAGTATTTATAACAACCATTTTCCATTTCACTTTGTTATTGTCTGATCCACCAGCTTGTGGATTGAACAATAACAATAGGTCTGTTCTGGTTTTGAGAAATAACGATCCACAACTGTCGGGCTCATGCGCAGTAGATAAAAAGTGTTTTGGTTTTTCTGGGACTACTTCGGATCTCTCAGTCCAGTGTTCTGGTTTCGTATCCGAAATAATCCGTGATTGTTGTAAATAGTCAAAATGTGTTCATGCTTGGGAGTGTGGATCGACTCGGACTGTTTTGACCGCGCATGCGTTTTTTAAGTGTTATGAATATTGTATTGGCTTTTTAGACCATACGGAACGTATGCAATCCCAAATTATTTATTTATATGTGGACGAATGTCTCTTGTTCTGTTTTATTTGTAAATTAAAGCAATTTTAGAATTATTAATTTTTTAATTTTATTCTGTTTTTATTTATTCCATTGAAATGTGATGATAATGATAAAAATATACATGCAAATGTTATTTAAAGCTGAGCTTTCAAAAGGAACCTTATTATTATAATAAACAATAAACAAAACACCTTTATGTGTTCTGGTTTTCCAACAATTTCAAACAGTCGGGGATTTTTTGCCTTTACGCATACGGTCCGGCGCAGTTTCAAAACAGTTTTCATTTTGAGAACCAGAACAAACCTAATGTGAAACAGAAAATGGTTATTATAAGAATTCTTAATTTGAATAACCTATAGTTTTCACTTTAGGATGAACCAGATTTAATTTTAGTCTGATATGCATCCGTTTCTTTCTTACATCTATCAGTAGAAAATGAAATACGATGATTTAAAAATTGTGACATACTATTTTTTGTAAAAACAAACTCTGGAAACTTTGTACATATTTGCATTTATAAATATGTACAACAGTAGAATAAACTTAAGGCTGTATGTCACGATACTAAATTAGGTACTAAATTTAGAACTAAATTAATGCACTTTTTAAGTACTAAAAAAATTCACGTTGCAAACAGCAACTTTAGTACTAAATTTAGTACTAAAAAAAGTCATTAATTAATTAGATCTTTTTCTATTTTCTACTAAATTTAGTACTAAAAATGCGCCGAAATGTTGCGCAGAAGTTTTTCATAGAAAAAGTTGACACGACGGTATTTTCTGTACCCTTTCATTTTTAATTAGCGACAATTTTACATTATCGCCTTGAATAAAGTTCGCTTGTTTGATTTTGTAGGTTTTATTGTGTTTTTTTCGTGGTTTTTATGCTGTATTTGGTTGTTGTCAAGTCAACTAGTGTCAAATTGATAATAAAAACACCATTTACTTGTCTGTTTTACACAGAATATTTCATTTCTCTGTTAATTTCACGTATTAATACGTCAATGCGCGTGCGCCTATAGTAAATTTAGTACTAAAAATGGGCCCGTTCACTTTCATTTTTGAATGTGAATTATTTAATTATTTATAAAGATATTAAACTCTTTTGTCTGGTGGTACTTTTCCCGTTAAAATATTTTTGCTAGAAGTAAGGGAATTCCCATAAAATTCTTTCAGTGACTCATTGCGTCAGAAAACCCCTAATTCCCTTCAGCTCTTGTATCGGTTAATAGTTAAAAGGGCGCGGTTGTCGGATGTATCATTGCACCACCATTCCTCTTCTGCATTTATTAAAGAAATTTACATGATAAAAATATATCATTTTTTAAAAATAATGTGTTTATATTTTCAGATAAAGCTGGAAGCCTTACCTTTTTTAAATTTTAATAAAAACAATTAGTATTACTCAAGCTGAATATTACCAGATCGAAATTTTATTTGAGAGAATGTATCTGGTAAACGTGACAACGTTGTAAGTACTTCTAAATAGTGTTGTCTACCACTTCTAGATATAAATGCAACGTTGCCACGTTTACCAGATAAATATTGCAAATCAAATTTCTACTTTTTGATTATGGTCTGGTTAATTTTCAGCCTGAGTAATAATAATTGTTTTAATTAAAAAGTAAAAAATAAGCTCCCAGCTTTAAATCTGAAAATATAAGTTCATGATTTTTAGAAAAATAATGGAATTTTACTATTTAAATTACATATATAAATGCAGAAATGCTATATTAGGGATACTTCCGACAACCTCGCCGTCTTTAAGCATAACCGATACGAGACGTGAACGGAATTAGGGATTTTCTGACGCAATGAGTCACTGAAAGAATTTTATGGGAATTCCCTTACTTCTAGCAAAAATATATTAACGGGAAAAGTACCACCAGACAAAAGAGTTTAATATCTTTATAAATATATAATTAATTCACATTCAAAAATGAAAGTGAACGGGCCCATTGGTATCGTTGCAAACGGAAAAAAAAATTTTTAGTTCTAAATTTAGTACTAAATTAATAACTTAATTTAGTGCTAAATTTAGTACTTAATTTAGTATCGTGACATACAGCCTTTATAGATCTTATCATTGAATTTTTTCTTTTAATGTGAGAAGATTAAGTTATGTTTATCGATGAAGGAAAATGCCAGTTATAAAAAAAAACAATTATTGTTAGACTTAAATTAATACAATTTTCGTTGAAACATTCTTATAACTTATTGTTAATAAAAAACTTAATAGTAAACAAAATATGTAGTCAATTAATTTTTTCGAACTTACATCAGATTTACTTTAACAGAAATAGTAGAAGTAAGAAATTTTTTAACCGGACCTGCTTTTTCGCCATTTTAGTAAGTACAAAAGACACGCCTACCGATCCAAAATTTGTATATCAATAACAGTTACTTATCCTCAGGTTGCTTTATCAATGCTAATCATAAATAATAAAAATATACCTTAAAGTAGAAAAAACCCATTTATTCCCAAAATCAAATTAGTTCACCGCAGGATAGATTGGATGTGTATACATAGATATATACAGATCGACAGACATCATTGCGAAAATATTTAAAATGGATTCGGGGGACTACAAAACGTAAATCTCCACCAAAAATCGAAATCGAAAAAATCATGATTCCCATACTTGCCTTATTGGCTACAGGAAAGTAAAAATCAGTTGAAAATCGACAATTTAGCTAAAAAATTCGAGGAGAAACTTTTTTACGTATGATAATGCATCAATGAGTTAAATTACATTGCAACTGTCATATTTTTAATGAAATCAATAGACACTAGTTGCATGAAACATGTAAATACACAGCGGTGCGGATAACTGCAGTAATTAAGTCTTTCAGGCCAACTGTAATTGCTGCTGAGTTTATACACAACTTGCATTTCGCGAAAGCCATTATCTGATGAATCTTTTATGGATTATTAATTATTATTTTTTCCGTAAAAACAGTTTATCAGCGTAGAGAAGCGAATGGAACTATTCTTTTCTAGTTTTATATAAATTTTATGACTTTGTAATAGAAGGTAGTTTTTATATGGAAAAGTAGTAGATCGACTGCTTTGCCCTTATAAGATGAAAAGACACTAGAGGCAGGTCTGACTTATATGAAAAAATACGGTTACGGATTGTCACGAAAATAGTTTTATGCTTAGTAAGGACATATATAAAGAAAAATAATTAAAAACTCCGTCTTCGAAAGACTGGTTCATTGCATTTAGAAAGAGACACAACCTTTCTTTGAAAAAACTGCAGAGTGTGGAAATATGCTCGGAAAAAAGCTTGCGATCCGTTCATTATCAAGCATTATTTTAACATATTGATGAGTTGAATTTAAGCCAGAAGTCACATCAAATTTGGAATTTTGACGAAACAAGCTTTTATAAAGATCTGTCTAAAACGAAAGTCAGTAGTCCAAAAGGGAACACAGCAACCCGCACAATAAGTTCTCCAGGAAAAGAAAACATTTCCGTGCTTCTAGGATATAGTGCTGCCCCGCTACTTATTATATTTAAAGGCAAGAATATTTGGGACCAATTTATGCCCCCAGAAAACACAGGTTTCCCTGGAACAACATAAGCTGCCACAACTGATGGGTGGATGGAAACCTCAGTGTTTGAAAATTATTTTAGGAACAGCTTTTTCAATATTTTGGGAGCAAAAAACCGGTCTTGATTATATATGATGGCCATTCCACCCATGTCGGTATCATCTTGATAGAAATGATGAGGACCAATAACTTGTAATCTTGAAACTCCCTCCACATTCTAGCCATCCTCTACAGCCGCTGGATTTAAGTGTTAAAGAGTTGTTGGGATGCTAAACAAACAACATGGCAAAGACATCATATTGGTGTCAAACTACCGAAAAAAGAATTTTCAAAAATTATTGGAGCCATATACAGTGAAACAAAAGAATATGTGATCAAAAATGGGTTTAAAAAAGGTGAAATAGTCCCATTTAATGATTAGATTATTCCAGATATATTACAGCGTTGGAAACAGCATAATTCATTGAAAAACACTAACGACAATCCAGTGAATGGCACCGACCATAATAATTTACTACAGTGTAGTGATGTCATTGATACAGTAACTGAAACTGAATTTACCGACTCAAATAAATTTCCAGCAAAATAATCTGCACATTCCTACTTAACAACACCTTGCTTTTCAACACCTTTCTGCTATAATAATGCACATAGAGATACAGAATCGAGTGCAGATGTTAGTTTCTCATGAAAAAGTGAAGAACACAGGGATCTCTCCTGGTGCGGAGGTTATTACTATAGATGATGCTATACAAAAGTTAAAAGAGAAGGAAAGCTATAAAGAGAAACCAAAACGCATTACGAAAAAGAAAAAGGTCAAGAAGATTCCGGAGGAAATGGAATGCGTTATAACTAAAGGAAAACAAATTACAACGAAAAAAAGGCCAAGAATGAGAGACCTGAGATGAATAGTTCGGATGAAGAAGATTCTGATAACTTTAGTCTACACTCATCTTCGATCGAAGGTTCTATATCTGATTTTTTATTGGAAATGGAAGAACACCGAGAGGAAGAACAACCTTTTACAATTGAAAAACAAGTAGGAGACTGGGCAATAGTCAAATTCTGTTCAAAAGAGACATTTCACGGAAAAACAATCTTTAGTTTTGTAAGAAAAACCTCAGAACGTGAGGGCAAAACTATTTTTTGCTATCCACTTCAAGAAGACGTATCTGTTAGTATTAATGCTAATATAGTTTCAAATTTGCCACAACCATTCATTGGACGTCGAGGAGAAATGATATTTTCAGTGGGCTTTGCTTCTTACAACATTCAGTAGTGTTTGTAAAGAGATTTACTTATGTTGTTTTAGTTTCTGTCGTTCAAATTTTGTTTTGTTTATAAAAGTTTTAAAAATAAAAAATTTCGATTTTTTCAATTACACATAGTACTTTATTTAAATTATACATACTTACCTTATCAACTGTTCGGTAAAGTTTATAATATAATTATGGACCTATTACATACTTACCCTCCTGAAGAGCGAAAGTGCGTATTAGTGACTCAGATCTGAAAAATTACTCATAGAAAAGTATGGATCATTTAAATAAGAAAATAAATGGAACCCATAATACCTAACAAATGCTATATATAATTTGCACCAAATAGTTTTTTAATTTATAGAAAATTTTGGACTGCAAAGTCGAATTTTGCAAAAAACTGGTGCGCCCTTGCCCGAGTGTTTTATCAAACACAATTTTGTAACTATTCCTTTCAAAATTAGAAAAAATATTGTATTGCTCTTAAAAACTGTTCCTAATCAGATAGCTTTACTATTTTTTAATTTATGTTTAAACTTATCTTCTTTCATAATGGATAATAATTGATTTCTGGGATACTTTCTTTTCACATGTATTTTTGATAAAATTTTCTTTGCAATGATCAAATACCGTATTTGCCATTTGAGCATTAAATTTATAATATTTAAATCATGTCCAGCTTTTGGGCTTTCTTAAACCTTGAACTATTGCCATCCCATCAAAAATGTTACAAGTTTTGCCAGAGTCAATAAGCGCAGGTAAGTCGTTGTAAGTAATTCCATTTAGCTCTAAAATATTTCCCAATAGACTCGTTATGTGTAAGAGATACCCATTTACTGTTAGAAATATCGGATATTTACTTGTTAAATAAATTCGATTCACATTAAGAAATTATGAAAAATAACTTTTTTTAATTTAAAATAAATATTTTTACAAGTATTATTAAGTCCATCCATGGACACACTATGTTGTTCTTTGTGTAATGTAATACAGAGAGGCTGAAATTGAGGTATAGTAAAAATTCAATCGACACATGGAAATTTCAAATAAAACAAAATATTTATATAAATTTATTATTAATATATTCTTGAAATCAAGTAGTAATATCACAAAAGTAGAGGTAGGTATATCACAAATGCAGTTACACATGTACCATAGTAGAAGCCACCTATAAAGCACTGAACGATTGGACAAAATTTGCTTAATAGTATAATAAGGTATCAATATTGCAAAGGTTCACTAGAAGCTTAAACAGTGAACGATTGTACAAAAGTATATTTATATAAGGTACGTTTCAAGATGGCAATTGTATGATGCTAAAAAAACTAGATCTGTAAATAATAGATGATTGCAACAATATCATAAGAGATAGCTGAGGTTCCAGATTGCTTACCTGTACTCGCAGAGATATATCATCTTTTTAAAATCAAACCTTTTAACTTTTTTTTGTATAGATATTTATATAGATGAACAAAAATTATTTTATTCTAACTACATGTGGCTTGGAAATATTTTTATTTGTGCTATAATGTAACATAATTATATGACAATTTATTAGAAGAGGATAAATTATATTTTTATATAAAATGATTTTACTTTTCCACAACATATTGAATAAAAAAGAGATTGACCTACTTGTTTAACTATTATTGAAGGAAATTATATAGAAAGTAAAAAAACATACTCAAGTTTAAATCGTTGCACTTATTTTTAGATAATTTTGTCTTACTTTATTGTTTTAAATAAAACCTCTAATGTTAGTGCATTAATTTTTTTTTAGAATTTCACAAATTTTATGCTTAATTATGGATTTCCAAGTTAGTATGAAGATTTTGTAAAAAAACAACTCGTTATTTAGCAAGATATTCTGATGTATGCTCGAGGGAATCGTCTGTGATTTTTCTCAAATTTTCTTCTAGTTTGGCACTTGCTTGAATCTGATATTTTTTTTTTTTTTTTAATATAGACGTACCTTGTAGATTCACTTTTTATAAAACTTCAGATGTCATATACCTATTCTTCTTTAGACAAGTCTGTAGTATTTATTTTGCTTCTAACATTCTTAGAATGTTTTCAGGTACAAAGGAAATCTAAAATTCAATATTTTTAAAATGTATTTTTAGTTCGATTAAATATATTATTACCCAGAAGTTTGTTACATCCTAAGGGTCGGTCTTTTCACCTTCAGATAAAGTTCCAGATAACTAACTGACGGATATATTATCTGACAGTTACTGTCTGTCAGATAATTAATGTTCTGTTTTTTGAAGTAAATAATATGTGTGGTAGGTATCCAGTAGTTTTTAACCTTATGTGGTTATGTAACTACCTGTTTATCCATCAGTGAAGTAATTTATTAGAAATTTCATAAATAAGATAATTTATCATTGAGTAGTTAAGTTTACCCAGAAGTGAAAAGATTACTTTTTAAGTTACTTGGGAGATAAAAATTACCTGACACTTTATCTGAAGGTGAAAAGACCGACCCTTAGTAAAGTGGAATCACATATTGTGGATTTTGTTTCTTGTAAAAGAAGGGCCCCTAAATCTGTGATAAGTTCAACCTCTCCATGCTCCCCTAAAATCACATACCAATAGTGTTATTTTATTTTAGGCCTTTATTTATCATGAATAAAAGTAAGCTGGCCCAGGTGGCTAACATCAGGCGTTGAATCCACGGAAATAGAAAAATATTTCGCCGATCTGGCTTCACTACTAATAAAATCACGAACGTGCTTTGATAAAACTTCAATAAACTCGTCACAAATAGAAGATGATAAATATGAGACATTACCGCGAAGTGATGGTTTAAGAATGGATTAAATTGAGCTATTAACTCTAAAAGTCCTAAATAATTGCCGTTGTCATTTCTCCCAAACTTTTCTGTGGTTCCCCTGAATGTCATACCTCGACTTGCTAAAAATTTAATTGTAGATAATACACGATGGAGAATTTTTATCCAGTAGTTTTTTTCCTCTAAATATTGTTTTTCAATTTCTGTATCTATTTTGCCTAAAGTATTGGAACGAGTTAAAAAAATTTTTGTGTTATTTAAATGTTCTTGCAAAGCCTAATGCTTTTCAATTCTAATAATATTTTTCCAGTCATTAAATCCTTTAACAAAAGATTTTTCACGATCCTTGCTAAACAACATACATGGCAAACAGAAAACTGAATTCTTCGACACAGAATATAAGAGCCACTCTCGCCGAACTTCCTCACCATAGAGTCTGTTGACAATGGAAAGATTGTGAAGTTGGGGAGTTTTACAGTTCTCTGTTGATCGTCCTTTGCATTTTCTATAATAACTTATACCAAAAGATACAAATCTTTCTAAACCACTCTGGTATGTTTATATCGCTTTTTGAGGTACTTTCAAACCTATGTATTTCTCATGACGATCTTGTGGTGGTTGGGGATTTCAACTTTCCAGAAATTCCCTATTCTGTAACTATAGTTGTTATCTGACAACTTTCTAACCACTTGCTATCTTACCATTTTCATAGCAACTGTATATAACAACTTTGACAAAAGTAGCTATTCTAGTATTCACGATTGCTATATCAGTCTATGATCTATCATACAGTTATGCTACCGACCAAGTTGCTATGATCAAGATCAGTTGTTATATTACCACTTTGAGAAAATCAGAATTTTTTAAGTAAAATCTGTAACAACTAGTGGTTACAAAAGTTGATTCAGAGTTATTTGGACGCAACCTAATATTCTTGATGGTTAAGCGTAACAACTAGTTGCTAAGAAAGAAATATTGGACCCTGGATAATAAATATTTTAATAGACCAAGAAATTAATAGAAGGTATATTTACTGATAGAATATTAGATATCAGAACTAAATATATTATTTTCTCTAATAGTTTGATTTAGGAATGAAGTAAGATTTCAGCAAAGGTTTTACTACTCCTTGTGATCTGTATATGTAAGGAGGGGTGACCCTCTATGTCACTTAGGCTCCAATAGGCTCATTGTGCATCCTTCACGAGAATTTAAGATCTGCCTCTCAGCTATCCAAAACATCTGCTGGTTGATATATAACGTGACTGAGAGCTGTCTATAGGAACCACTTCTTAGATCATCAAGAGGCCTGCATGTCTTCTTGCGATAAAATGCAAAATAAATTTTCCTATCTTGATGAAAGTTTACTACGACATATTTATGACTTTTTTTAATTTGAAATCAGCCCAACAACAAAAATAAAAAGTCCCAAATGTTAAATTATATTTCACTTAACTTTTTAAAAACTATTTTCAAAAGATATATAAAAACTTTGAATGCCAATAACATTGAAAAAATTTATGAAATCTAAAAGTATGTGTCTAACAAAAATAAAGAGTAGAAAGCAAACAAAAAAATATTTAAAAATATATAGAGGTACGATAAAAAAGATATTTTTTACTGGTCGGTGTACCCCATGCTTAACATTGACGGTCTTAATACATAAATGCACATTGAATTATGATAGATACAAACAAAACAATAGCTGTCTTATTCAGAGGAGGGTCTTTGATTAGGTAATAAATGAATAAAATCTTAGGGTTTGCTTATACTCCCTTGCTATTAGTATTTGTATTAGTATTATGATTAAGCATTAAACTGGACAAAATATTCAAAAAGGGTAACTTCACATACTTTGATTACTATACGAGGCAAGAGAGAGGTCCGACACGCCCAACATAGGGCGCGGCCATTTTGAACCCTGTGACACAGTTTACAGCTAAAGAATCAGATCGCTCACTCTGCGTCGGCACTTTTGATCTCAATGTTTCAGTTTATACACTGTGCAACTCGGATAATACAATATATGACAACCGCCTATAATAAAACAGCAGTCTTCTTCGTATCCTGAATTTGTATCCCTGGAGTGGATGTTATTTTGGAACTTTCAACTGGTCCGAGTGAGCTAACTGATTCTTTAGCAATAAACTGTGACTTCAAAAATAATATTCACTGACACTGACAGCAGCAAGCAAAATATCAGGGCTGGAACTCTGTGTCATGTAG